CAGAAGATGATTATCGGAGTGGGTCACTTACCTGGTTTAATAGTGCAGTCCAAGAATGTCCCCAAGTGCTGCAGTCCCAGAGGACATGGAAGCAGATCCTGGTCAGGGATCCAGAACAGACAGGAACAGAACAGGTGGCAGGATCCAGACTTCCAGGCATCCAGAAGCTCCCAGGAGGGTTCAGAGTCTGAGGGGGTCCGAAAGCGTGACCAGGTGGCCACGCACAGGAGCAGACAGGATCAGGTGCAGACAGGCAGGCTCAGTGGAAGAGAGTACCCGAGACAGGACGTGGAACTAGAACTTGATGCAGGACTTTAAACTGGTCTCCTCCCTGGAGCCAGGCTTACTGAGATAAAAGCTGATCCTTCCCACGTATAGAGCCAAAAAACCCAGAGGACTCCGCGGAGGAGGAACAGTGAACGATCAGGAGACGAGACAGACACAAAAACCTCCTTCCACTGGCTGCCAGGATCCACGAACTAAGGAACCAAGGAATAAAACTAACAGACAGGCTAACAGAAAGACAAATAATGATCTGGCACTGAATGCTCAGGCTGAACTGAATATAAACCAGAGGAAACAGGTGAGAGGAATAAATTATAATTGAGGCAGGAAGGGAAAACGACAGGTGAAAGAAATTACTAATTAAGGAGGAGCAAACAGGCCAGATCATGACAGAATCTTTTCAAAAAAGTAAAAAAAAAAGTAGTGTTTACCAGCAGTGTGGCTTTTCTCTCAGTCATCTGTGGCTCATTGTGACTTTATTGGTCTGTTAAAGTTCTCATTTTAACTCCAGTTAGTGGAGCGTCTTATTCAGCAAAATCTTTCATTTTAAAAGTATAAACCTCCACCTCTGTTCGACACAAACGCCTTAAGTTCATTCATCTCTAAACTAACTTCAGCTGAACCACTAACCCTGGTTTCCAGGGGAGGAATTTAACTCTGTTTACTCTCCTTTACTGTAATTACTGTACTGCCCCAAAGTAACACTTTGACTTGTGTGTATCCACAGGAATGTAAATATTCATAAAATACTACAAACTATGAGCAGTGGAATCAAAAAGCAAACATCCAGAAATACTTTGACTCTATACAGTACATGTAGGTCACAGCCGACAGCTTTACAGCTGTGATGACCTCCCCAGTGTCTCAGCTGGACCCAATCAGCTAATTGGCAGCTAAATTAACGATTGGGTCCCGTTTTACTTAGCATTTACTCATCCATCGACAAACGATCACCATGATAATCAATCACAACGGAACAAGATAATATAACAGCTTTCTCAACCTGATCATTTCTTTACCCTACATTTAAACCCAGTTGAAAAAACTGGGAGCTTTACCAAAGAACAGCATTCTTCCAGGGTCCTTTGCAGGCTTAGTCCAGCTGTTACACCATTTCCTGCAACCCAGAGTGGTGATAAAGCAAATAAGGCTGATTTTTTTTTTTTCTAAAAGTTTGTTTAGTTGAGCAGTCATTTATCATCATCTAACCCTAAAAGGTCATGTGAGAAAGGTTTTTAGAAAAGGCTAGATATAGTGAGAGGGACGTTACTTTGTGCAGTTCCAGCTGCCGTTCTTGATTTAGCTTTTTTCTGCTTGAAGGAGTGATTAAAAAGAGGAAAACATGGAGTTTTAGATAAGATAGCTTTCAGTTGTTGCAACACCCATGCATAGAGATTAAGTTGACAGCCACCCATTCTGCAATCAGATAACTAAACTGTAATTAACACATGAAGTAAACAAACAAGCTGGACACCCTTTGTAACATATTTCTTAATGTGAATATTTCATTTCATTTCATTGGGCAATCTTTGCACCAAAATATTCTTTCTGTCATGATTTGTTGACATTAAGATCTAAAGAGAAGCACCTTCTCCTGGTCAGACCCTGTAATTCAGTGAAAGGGTGGAGTCAGAGTAAAAAAATATGGATGCCCAACAGAAGCCCGGTGGCTGGAGGTTGGTTTACATTCAGCTGGCGTTTGACTGGGAAGGACCATCTTGAATGGCTTCCACTGTAATACTACTAATGATGTAAAACAAAAGAAACAAACACTTAAACCTTAATGAGGGATGGATTTTATAGAAACTAAACTAGAGAGAATATCAGCTCATTTAACGCGGCTACAATCCAGCAGAGTTGTATCACATCAGGAACATGTGATTAGAAGTTGGTACCTTCTAAAGTTTCAGCCACAGACATCTAGTGCTCCTGACTGGGGAGGTGAGATCCAAAGAGCTTGTAGGGGATTTAAAGGAGTTAATTTGAGCCAGCCCATTATATAGAAACAAGAGAAGAACCATCAAAGCAACAGATAATCTTCCCAGCTCTGATTTTCTCACTGAAACCCAGGTGTAAGACGCTAAAATGAGTCCTGAATATTAGACCTGGACGCTCATGTGGATCCAAGAAATCATTTCCCGAATTCTGAGAGAAAAGACAAAAAACAGGAATGCTGGAAGGATGTTCAGTTAAAGGAGAAGTTTGGTTTTTTACACTTTAAGCCCATTTTCTGTAGTGTCCAGGATGAAATCGAATGATCTACACCAAAAGTTTGACAATTGCTCCTGTCT